ATAAACTATATAGTGGAAACTTGGACACTCTAAGAGCCCTACGTCGACTCTCCTAACTAACACTCGGTCCAGGTAGCTCACCAAGCGAGCCAGGAGCCGAGTCGCCACTAGTTGTCCAAGTCCATGCTACTCCTGAGGGTGCTCATTCCGGTACTTATCGACACGATCAAACCTGCCGATAAAGTCCCGAAATGACTTCACATCAGGATTTTTAGTACCCGGTTTTTTACCTATGCGATCTATCTCAGGGTCAAGGACGGCATTCCAATCCCCCGGCTAAGACTACCCGACGAGAAGTCGTCAAAAACGGCTCGATCTGCCGAAACAAAGCAGGCCGCTCAGTATGACTATTGGGCGCATAAACCCCAATGAGACGTAAAGCCATATCCTTTATAGTAACATCCAGCACACAAAGCCTGCCCGCCGGATCTGCGAAGACAAGGGAACATGCAGCCTTCAAAGAGACACCCCTCGAACGACCATCAAAACATGCTGAATAAAGGGCGAACCTTTTAGACAGTATATCCTCATGGTCATGAGAAGAAAACCGGGTCTCTTGCACACAACAAACATTCACCCCGAGGCGCTGAAGGTCACGAGAGAGCCTCGCCCTGCGAGACTCGGACCTCAGGCCCCGCACATTTAAAGTAGCTAACCAGAGAGCCATGAGAAGTCCGATTAGGGTTGTTTACCAGGATTAAACATGGCCGGGGTAAGGATACCGACAGCCTCTCCCATAGACCCATGGCCCATCTCATTCTTGATGGAGCCGTCTTGGGAGATACCGCCGACATCCCAGGGAAGGTCAATTTGAGAGCTCTATATAGGGATGGGTGAACTAAAATGGGGACCCTCCCTGCACAGAAATATTGTAGTTTTTTTAATTTCTCATTATCCACGATGGCGATGGGTAGAGGCATCTTGCACGAGTTCACCGCTTCTTCCACCATCGCCCAGGTTTGGTTGGCCGCAGGTCCTGACCTAATAACAGTCAGGACCCTCTGGGCATTTGGGAAGTTATTTGGGTCTTCTATATCTTTATCGCCGAACTGCTTGATAGAGAGCAGGTATTTTAAGTCCTTAACCCTGTTGCCGTAATCTCTGGCTCTCTCTCTGCCTGTGCTGGGGAAATCCGGCACACCTCCTCGCCAGTGTTAAAAAGGAACCTTTTCTTCCTTTCCTTTTTCTCCTCTTTAGTGGGAGATCTAAGCCGCTTTGTAGCTGGAGGAGGCATTTCGGCATTTTTTGCCGGTGATTGCTTGGGGGGTATGAAGGGGGTAGATTTTTGTTTAACTGGAGAAGGAGGGGGAGTATTCATGGGGTGTAAAATGACCTGTGTCTATAGGGGCTGGGATCTCTGCTGTGGGTTTTGGCTTTGGATGGTGAAATGGGTGAAGGTGGGGGTTGTTTCTTTGGTGAAGGGGAGGGACTAGCAGGAGATGAAGGGATTGGATCTTTTCTTTTTGCGTCCAGATGTTTTTTGAGTGCTTTTAATTTTTCAGCCTTTTCATGGCCAGGGTCGAATTTTTTTTGTTTTTCCTCGAAAGTAAGACTAGAGACCGGGGCATCGCCCTTAACGTTGCTAATGGGAGTGGGACTGTGAGTGCCCTTCTTCCTTGGGGCTTCAGGGGACTGAGGACCCGCTGTCCGGCGCTTCCCTCTGGCCTTACCAGCCACCAGCCATTCCCCCTCCCCCTTCTCCACAACTGCACCGGCAGCGGGCGAAGGCTCTTTGGGGAGTGTGGCTTTAGGTGACGCGCCGACCGGAGGATTAACCGACCCGGTCCCGGAGGCTGGTACGCCCATTACAGGCGAGGTGGAATTTTGAGACGCGGTCAAAGGGGATCTTGTGTAACTGGCGCTTGACTTCCAGAGGCCTTCTTCTCTGGGCAGGAGGAGGAGAGATGACCAGTCACTCCACACCTCCAGCATACCGGTCTTCGACCCGTCACTATGACCGGTAACTTCAAAGCGCCAACATCCAGACAGTTGGGGATGGAGCGGAAGGCCTTCTCGTCCAACATGATATCAAAGCTCCACCCCCCGTTCAGGCTATCGCAGGAAGCTCCCAGAATCTCGCCATACTGAGAGAAAGCGGCCAGATGTTCCCCGATAACCTGAGGAGGGACCTCGTATACAGTTACCTGGTCCTTCGTCGCCCTTCGTATTCGGTACGCAATATCAACTCGTTGTTGATTAGTTCGCGGCTAGCCGCGGCGACGCAATCTTCTGGTGTGGGCAACAGTACGTCCCATTATGAAAAAATTTAGCACCCTTAACTATTCTAAGGGGCTTGAACCGAAGGATTCTAGTGCTTTCAACACTGTGTTTTTTCGTCGAGCGACAAATTTTGCGCGTACGCTTGTCCACGACGAAAACTGACACTATTCTTTTTATCAATTCTCTTCAATTCTTGGGGTCTTCCAAAGACCACCTTCAACAACAAGGTGGGCGTAACTCTTGGCACGCTCCAAGAACTCCACTAAATTGATTATGCATTTAGGAGGGGACTTCCAACAAGAGGGCGATTCCCCGGCCTCTGCATTAGTTTTTGTGCTGTCCGATTCTTTGTCTGTATTTCCGCTTTTTTCAGCTTCCATATTTTTGGAGGCTTTTTTTAATGTCTCCACAATTTCCTCGTTTGTGGGAACACTTGGGAGGTCAGGATATTCCTCCTTATTGTCTTTATCGGGGGGGTCCTTCTTAGGGTTAAATAGGTGCTTCCTTATACTTCTTTTTTTAAAAGAAGTATTTTTAAATTTCTTTTTTGCGATTAAAAAAGAAGGTACTTTTTTTTCCTTATCCATATTTTAAATGGGGGGGGAATGGAGAGGGGTGGGCAATAAATATATGGGCGAGAGAAAAAGAAATAAACTCAAAAAAATAAAATAATTATGGACACCAAAAAACAATTAGACAGTTCACCTAAACGTATAAAGAATACAATACAAATATCGCCTAAAGGCGAAAAGACAAACACGTAATAAACAAAAAACTTTAGACAATAAAAAACAGAAAAAACTTCGACAAAAGCCGAAGCTAAAATAAAATCAAAATGGCCGACGTCAACAAAAAATTACGAAACAATAACACAAAGCTAATTACAACAAAACAATACGTAACTAAGACAGACGAAGCTAGACACAAAAAATAAAAATGGCTGACGTTAAGAAAGCGAGTCAAAAAGTAAACAAAAGAAAATAGACACGTTAGACAATACAAAGAAACAATACAAGGATTAGTACAAATTTGGCACGAAAAAAACACTACACGAGAAATAAGTTAACAGATATTAAAAGGTAAGAAAGAAAATACTAGAAATTAGAATTAGTCAGAAAACGTAACACAGACGGGGGTTAAAAAAAATAAAGAGGAAAGAGAAAAAGACTGAAAAAAAAGTAAAAAAAAAATTAAGTGGGTAAAAAATAAAAATTAGAGGAGGGTAAAAAACAGAAAAGAAGAAATCAAAATCTTTTCAAACAGTCTTATAAACAGGCAGTAATAAAAGGAATAAACTTAACCAAAAATGCAGTTCAGCACAAAAAACGGGTCAAATCCAAGCAAACCAGTCACGCGTGAGTCGATAAATGACAAAAATTGACTAGAACAACGTCAAATTTTCATTCATCAACTGACGACCCTTTTCCAAAATCCCATTTTTATAGGGGCTAACACCTAATTTGCATATTTCTAGATGTTTCTCGAATCATCTAGATTTTTCTCGAATATACTAGACTGTTCTAGAATCTTCCAAACATTCTATTTCTAATTTCTCTATTTTACAACTACTTCATGAATGAAAACTTTTTTGTAATAACAAGTAGAACTCAGTGGAATCCCTTATTATAGAAATGCATCCTCGTAACAACAGAAAATAGGGTCATCAGCAAGAGTAAAAACCCCAAGATGTTACTTACGAATTGGAGATATAAACAGGCACAGAACTTTAAATATTTCGGAAGCGTTTTAAGACAATGGAGAATGCGATACGGAGATCCAAAACGCGCATTAGACTAGCGAAAGTGGCATTCCAAAAGCTAAACACTGAGAAACTGGGAAAAATCTCGTTAGAAACAAAAGATTACTGGATTGCTATGTGGCATCCATCCACTTAAATGTCAGTGAATGTTGGACAATCTCCCCACGGATGAGGTAAAAAAAACTAGAGGCAGCAGAAATACGGTTCTACAGAAGGATACTGAGAATTCCATTGACGGACCAAGTAAACAACAAAAGATTTTTTTTTTTTTTTTTTTTTTAAGAGGGCAACAATGAATAAGGAAGAATCAGCTGAAATTCCTTAAACACATAATAATGGAGGGCCTGGAAAAATTAACCATCATAGGGCATATTGTGGGCAAGAGAGATAGTGGAAGGGAGCGAACCAAGTATCTGGCAAGCTTGTGTGAATGGATGGCGGAACGGGTGAAAAGCTGCTTAAAGCCACAGGAGATAGAAAGTTGGGGAGAGCCATGGTCATCTGTCCAGAAAGGACACAGTACATAGAAGAATATATTAGAGAACAGTGCATTTACTCAAATATGTGTATCCATAAAAATAACGTATAAAGAGAAAGGAAAAATATATATATATATATAAGGAAAACCTTACAGTTGTTTCAACTAGACAAAAATGTATACCCCGGGAGGCACGGTGGAGTAATGGATAGTGGCTCGGATTGAGGAATCTGAGAGCCGAGTTCGAATTCCATTCGAATCCATCATATTCATATACGTGCTAATACCCTTGGGAAAGGTATGAATTCTCTACTTCTCCCCTCAGGTATGGGTAAGTTGCAGGACAGACCGGGTTCTATAGCCTTGGATGGCAACTAGTCTACAGCAAAAAAAAAAAAATGAAAACCTACTGCGGGGAAAAAATCTGCCTCGTCAGTCATCTATCGAAAGATACATGATCCCCCAAGCGTGTATCACGCATGACACATAACTGACTGACTTCATGGTCGAGCGATTCCAAATTGTCATTCATTTTTAACAACGATGAAACATTTCAGTCGTCACTACAAATTCCATGTCCTCTCTGTCTTTTTCTCTCTCTCTCTCTGTCTCTCTCTCTCTGTCTGTCTGTCTTTTTCTCTGTCTGTCTGTCTGTCTCTCTGTCTTTGTCTGTCTGTCTGTCTGACTTTCTCTCTCTCTCTCTCTCTCTGTCCCTCTCCCGCATTCTATAATGCACCAAAGTAATATTGCCTAGAGACATTAATCGCAGACTTCGTCCCCAATTTTTTTTTTTTTTTTTTTTTGCTCGGTTCTAGTTCTCTCTCTTTGTCTCTTTCCCCGCTCGGTTCTAGTTCTCTCTCTTTGTCTCTTTCCCCGCTCGGTTCTAGTTCTCTCTCTTTGTCTCTTTCCCCGCTCGGTTCTAGTTCTCTCTCTTTGTCTCTTTCCCCGCTCGGTTCTAGTTCTCTCTCTTCGTCTCTTTTCCCTGCTCGGTTCTAGTTCTCTCTCTTTGTCTCTTTCCCCGCTCGGTTCTAGTTCTCTCTCTTTGTCTCTTTCCCCGCTCGGTTCTAGTTCTCTCTCTTTGTCTCTTTCCCCGCTCGGTTCTAGTTCTCTCTCTTTGTCTCTTTTCCCCGCTCGGTTCTAGTTCTCTCTTTGTCTCTTTTCCCTGCTCGGTTCTAGTTCTCTCTCTTTGTCTCTTTTTCCCCGCTCGGTTCTAGTTCTCTCTCTTTGTCTCTTTCCCCGCTCGGTTCTAGTTCTCTCTCTTTGTCTCTTTCCCCGCTCGGTTCTAGTTCTCTCTCTTTGTCTCTTTCCCCGCTCGGTTCTAGTTCTCTCTCTTTGTCTCTTTCCCCGCTCGGTTCTAGTTCTCTCTTTTGTCTCTTTCCCCGCTCGGTTCTAGTTCTCTCTCTTTGTCTCTTTCCCCCGCTCGGTTCTAGTTCTCTCTCTTTGTCTCTTTCCCCGCTCGGTTCTAGTTCTCTCTCTTTGTCTCTTTCCCCGCTCGGTTCTAGTTCTCTCTCATTGTCTCTTTCCCCGCTCGGTTCTAGTTCTCTCTCTTTGTCTCTTTCCCCGCTCGGTTCTAGTTCTCTCTCTTTGTCTCTTTCCCCGCTCGGTTCTAGTTCTCTCATCTTTTACTTTCTTTTCCGGCATAACCTTCGATTAACATCTAGTCAAAATAATCATCAATAGGATTATCATTATCTATAAAATTATTCTTGTCTCAATTTTACCAAATTTGACATTTAAAAATTGTATCAATGTCACCGTCAGCTTCGATATTACTATAATTGCTATCATTAATCTTATTCATATTATTACTGCTATTACTATAACTCGTTGAGTTTTCAAGCCAGTAATATCCGGTGGCTTTCTCCATACTGTTGTACTTTTCTCGGAAAAAATGTTATCTGGACAGATTCGATTTTTTGTGGAGATTTTCACATCTTCCAATATCTTCGCAAAGCTTATCGTAACTCCCCTATTGTGTCATGTATTTTCTTTTTCGGCTTTTATTTGAACTTTATTCAGTGAACATCTGGAAATGCGAGACTCTATATATGACAAGTATTTTTCTTGTTCACAATGACTAGATCTGATGTTTTGGCCTGCGTTGGTGGATCGCTTTGTGTTTCAACATTCTAATTTGTGCATTGCCATTTACGCTAGAACGTCTTTCCCAGCTATTCAAACCTCTTTTTTGTACACCATTTTGAGCTATTATAATTAAGTTGCATTGCTATAAGTAATAATACCATTTGGTTTTGAAAGTGGCAACCACCCTAGCGTTTAGACCAAAGCTTGAGAGTAAGCGAAGTGTTCCCATTTATTTTAGATACGTAATTTAATCTCTTAATAGCATTTTTAATACTTAGCAAGTCGAGGCTAGTAAATTTATCAATTGTTCAGACATGACTTTGCATAAAAAATGCAACACTCTAATACCATTTTGTCCTGCGTATATTTTAGGCATGGTATGAAACTATTTAATATTTAAATCGCTATTTTTCATTCTCTTTGCGTGTATGTGAAAATAACGATTCTGTTTCTCATTAATAAAATCGATAGATTCTTTCATCGATTCAGCTAAGATGATCATTTCTTGTCGTGGATGCATTTGAAGTGCATCCACGATAAGTTATGGCAAGCGAAAGCAATAGCCTAGAAATGTAGCTCTTTTTAAAATACATTCCTCCTTTTTTTTTTTTTTTTTTTTTTTTTTTTTTTAAAATAAAAAAAAGCATATCGAATGACAGCAATTTATCGTCAAGATGTCTTAATATCAGCTCATCTTAATTTTTCTTACTCAACTGCATTGCTTATGGTTGTTGCTAGAAAAGTAGCCTTGCTCTGCATTTGGTCAGTCGTTTAGGAAAATTATTCTTTTTGTCTGGTATCTGCCTGTGGCATGCGCAATAAAAAAAAAATAATTAATTCCTTCCGGTCCGGAAGTGGCCATAGTAACTGTTTGCCTGCAAGGCAACAAAAATCAATTGAATGACCCTAGACACGTCTCAATACTGCTTTGTATTTAATACGCATAACAAAAATATTAGAAAAGCGAATATATCTACTACTTCAGTCTGTATTATTAATGATGTTTATAATGAATTGTTTTGTTTTTAAATAGAAAATTTAACTTGATACAACATAAACAAATTGAAGAGTAAAATGCATTTGTCATGAATACGAATCTTCATTTCCAAAATATCCTTGGAACGAAGTTGGCATGGTTAGGGTTACTAAACTTCTAATATCGCTACTTGTGTTATCTGGGAAGAGCTTTTAAAATAAGCTTTGGGCTAACAAGAAAATAAAATCAAAATTTAGTAGTACTGGGGTCTCATGTCATCCTATTTACTACTCGTGTCAGGAGGTGCAATGTCAAATTGCAGTCGTGTTTTGTTACATACACTTACGCGCAGATATTGCTGGGACAGATGATACATCTTTCTTTTTTCACCCACCTATAGGTTAAACAGTCCAGACTGGGCTGTCTAGCCGTGGTTGGTAATCAGTCGAGAAGGACATCTCTGAATTTCAAACCATAAAATTGTCAGTGTGGTTGTTAGCTACGTGTCATGAAACTACTTTGTTATTGCAATCTACCACAAGAAAAGTTATTTACCACTTTTAACCGATGTACGTGCCATATCCTGTTGAAATATTGATTCTCATACGATCACCGACGCTAAGCAACGTCGAAACTGGTTTGCATTTTATATAAATACTATCTTATAACAATTGAGATGTAGTAGAGTGAGGATCTTCGTGCCATAAATTCGGGAGGCACGACCTTTTTGCACCGGCTCTGAATGCATTACCTGTAGAGGAGATAAGATCCCTACCATAAATGGATCGTCTTATTGGTCATTTATTTTTGAGGCAGTAAATATTTACTCGGTTTTACCTATTCCAGAACCAAGTAAATTATTGTAGACACATTTTTTAAAAAAAAAAAAGTCAAATTTATTTCGATATAAAATAATTTAACAGGGGCTGGCACGCATTTCCTCAATCTCCAAATATGGTCAGCTGGTCATTCTTTCTTTTTTTTTTAATTCATATTTATTCATAACTCAAGCTAGGTATTTTCGGTTCTACATGTATATCTAGATCACGTGACCCAACTAGGTGCCATTGTTACATGTACTTTACAAAGGCTTTGTGCGAATGAAGCCTGAGTGCGTTGATAAAGATCCCACTTCTTTGAACAATGTGAATTGACGCTACAGATACACAATGAACTGTACCAAATAACAGAAAGCACATCACTTGAGGATTACCAGCAGCGGTAACAAGCAAAATAATGGATAGCGTCTATAACTCTAAGATAAAATAATGACATGATCAAGATGTCGACATTCCACACTACTTCAAATAAAAGATTAGTAAGGAAATCACCATCAATACTGGAAAGAGCGATAACAGCTATTGGACTTGAAAAAACTATTTTCCTGAAAAATTGTTTTAAGAGAAAGAATTTTATAACTTTCACCCAGAAGTACGGCTGCTCGGTCAATAAATGTCTTGTGTTTCCTTATAAGGAAACGGCTAATATTACCATTACGAAATGTTCAGAAGATGCCGTCGAATATATTATTATATTGGTCTTACATCTTATTTTCATCGCAACATCCAGGTCAGGTCAGGTCCGCTACAGACTACTCCCGAACCCCCCGACAGGAGGTCGGGGAACAAGCCTGATCGAGCAGTGTTTGTGACCTTCGTTATCTTAACATATTTTTTTTATGTACATTTATAGAAGTTACAAATTAAACTAAGCACAACTATTAAAGGATAATTTTCGCGGATTTTGACGACATTCTGGGATCTTTTCTTGTCCAAATCTGTTTTGCTCACGATAATTCACGAAAAATATATATATTTTTTTTTTATCTATAGTGTCGAATGTGTTCGAATTATTCAAATTTTTTTAACAAGATCTCGAGTTGACGCCCAAAATTAATGCAAAATTGTTGATTTACGACGGAATGATTTGACATATCTCTAATTTGTAATTAGATACTGTATTTTCAATTTTTGTACTTGAATTGTTCACCTATATTGCATATGATCCATTAATGTACATAATTAGTTTACAATGAAATTTGTATTTTGTATGAATACATTATGGAAATTAAGATGTGGTAGGGGTGTATCATAGCTTATACATGATCCTTTCATAGATTATCATAGCTTATACATGATCCTTTCATAGATTATCATAGCTTATACATGATCCTTTTCATAGATTATCATAGCTTATACATGATCCTTTCATAGATTATCATAAACTTATACATGATCCCTTTCATAGATTATCATAGCTTATACATGATCCCTTTCATAGATTATCATAGCTTTCATACATGATCCCTTTCATAGATTATCATAGCTTATACATGATCCCTTTCATAGATTATCATAAGCTTATACATGATCCCTTTCATAGATTATCATAGCTTATACATGATCCCTTTCATAGATTATCATACAGATCCCTTTCATACATTATCCCTTTCATACATTATCATAGATTATACATGATCCCTTTCATAGATTATCATAGCTTATACATGATCCCTTTCATAGATTATCATAGCTTATACATGATCCCTTTCATAGATTATCATAGCTTATACATGATCCCTTTCATAGATTATCATAGCTTATACATGATCCCTTTCATAGATTATCATAGCTTATACATGATCCCTTTCACCGGCCCTGATCCAGATCGTTATTTTATGAACATTTTAAATAAGACCAGAAAAAGAAAAAAAAAACAGTTTTGAATATCTCTTTTGGAATGAACTTGTCTTTCTTTAACTCCGCCTTATTAGGCAGCAGAAGTTATTCAGTATGATGACTCTTGTCTTTTCTACGCCATCTTAAATTTTACAGATAATTTGTTCTTATTTGTCTAATATTTACGTGTTTTTATCCATTATATTTTTAATACGTTACTTCTGTTTTTTCCTGAAGCAATAATTTTCCCAATTTTTTTTTTTTAATTTATTTTTAAAATGAAATCCTGTTTCCATACGTTAAAGTAATTTTCGTTGTTATCTGATGCAGACGATAACGAAAATTACTTTTTCGATCCTCTTTGCTCGATTGTGTACTTCATTGAAATATGCGTTCTGCTTGAAGACGTTGCTTTCTCGGAATGTCGTTGACATACGAGATCTGTAGATTCGTATAGATAGCGGCGTTCGCGGGTGGACGTAAGTCGACGTCACAAGAATAAAAGTAGCAGCAGCGATGTTGACAGGTAAACATTCACTGGAATGAGGTCAACGCGGCGTTTGTTTCATTGTAAGAATCAAACAATGAATGCATTTTTCGAGAAAGGGAAAGAAAATAATGGATATATAGGTATGTTAAAATTCAGGGAAAAGGCAAAAAAAGAAACCAAAGAAGTAAATAAATGAGAGATGCATAAATAAATACGAAAACCTATCTGTAAGTTTTCGGTTCGACCCACATTCCAATATATCCGATGAAAAAAAAAATTAGTTGATTCTTTTCAGCGTAGGTCATAAAATACAAATTACACTGGGTGAAAAAGCGAGTAATGAAAAGAATGCTTCGATATGGTACAATGGTTATTAAGGACGTAATGAAGGCAAGATGGGAGGAGGTAAATCAGCGAACAATTTGCCTAACAAGCTAACAAATAAATAGCTGACCGAACAGAGATTAGTAGAGATAGCAAAAACAAAATTTACTTACAGCTACAAAGAACAAGAAGTTGTGGAGACCCATTATCGTCCACGTTCTGAAAGGACACGGCACATAGCCTGGTACTCACTACGCTTCTTCTGTCTGGTTGGAAGGAAAATTCTCAAGATCTCTAAATAAATTTGATTATTTAGGAACCACAAGAACTTTCCTTCCAACAAGATATCTAGGTACACACTTTTGTCCTTGGGCTATACAAGCGAATCTTAGCGATAGAATAAATTAAACTCCGTAATTAATCAAATAATTGAAATATAAAGAGGCAGTGAAACGTGTCATTTAACTAAAAACGCAATTAAAAATTCTGAATACTAAAAAACAATTGAACAATAAAAACAACCGAAAAAGACAATAAATAAAACAAATAGAACGAACGAGAAATAAAAAAAATAACAAAATGTCAGGGAAAAGTAGAAATGAATTGAAATAGAGAACAAAAAATATTAAGAGAAAGGAATCGAAACAAACAATGAAAGGGACACTGATCTAGTAGATAAAATCGTTGGTTTGTGGATTTGGTGACCTAGTGATTGTGAGTTCAATCCCAGGGTCGGGCAATGCGTACTTTGACTCCGTAGAAACAGGTGAGCAATAAGTGAAATAAGAACTACACGATATCTCTAGACATGAGCAGTGGAATGAGAATAGTTTACATCTGTAGATTAACAGGTTCAGTTCAGAATTCCCTGTAGATTACCCAGAACGATATACACCTGAGGAAGGCCGGAGGACACAACGGGCGAAACGTTGTGATAACAACAACAAAGATAGTCCGAATATAAAAAATAATTCCTCACCCAAGAAATTCAAACAGAAAATTAGAAAACCTCCACATTTTTTCGCAAGAAAACATAGCATAATGAAAAAGACCACAAACTTAATAAAAATAAAGTATTATTGTCAAAATGTTTAAGATGAAAGACCAAAGTATTTTTTGAAATTTTTTAATCTTTCTAAAAGAAAAGAAAATGCTCGAAATTTTAGTTACAATCTTTTGTTTACGTCATCGGTGGCATAATAACATTGTTTTTTTTCCGATTTTAATTAAATTTTCAGGACTTATTCACAAATGAATGAAATTATTTTTGAAATTTTTTTTTTTTTTTTTTTACACATGTTAACCCCACTTATGAAATTTCGCAAAAAACCTAAATTTCCTGAATTTTTTTTCTTACTAAAAGTAGGACTCCTTGGAAAATCTATATCGCCTAATCTTTTTTTCAAACTTGCATTATTCTAACTGAAAATCTGCTTTGAATTGAAAAATAATGAATGCAATAAAACTGACATTATTTAATTAGAAATGCTTTTAATTGCTTTTGTAATTAAGTTATATTAGGGACATTGTCTGAAGAAATAATTTTTCCGATGAATATTGAATTTTTACAAGAATCAAGAATTTTAAAAAAACTTTAATTATAATAATTTATAACAGTTTAAAATCGTGTAAAATTCTCTATTGGGCTATTTCCTGGATGTGATATAGTATTTAAGTGGAAACGAAATTTACGAATATAAACGTAGTTACGCTATTCTATTTTTTTTTAATAATTAATTACGTAATTTGTTCCTGATTTTCATCTATAAAAGTGTAAGCGTGACATTATTATGAAACTGTCACGTGATCTAAGTTCTCTTTACAGAAAAATTAATTTAAGAAAATTTTATAGTATTTTATTTTTGCATAAAGCATCTTCGAAAGGTAAATAAGTCAAATTAGATAATTGCGGAAAATATGTTTTCTTAGTTTTTATCAACTCTGGCCAGCCATACTGTAATCGCTTCGTCACTCATCGGCCATCCATTATCGCCTCAGGTAAGCTATGATAAGCAGGTCCAATCGTTAAATAAATGGTTGTATATTACTTTTTATGCTATAAGTAATATTTATTTCAAATCAGATAAATTTAACTTTAAATTTTCTAATTTTACTCAACGTGCCAGAAATGTATTTTTTAATTTTATTTATTTCTTGAATTTTAAAATCGATAATTTCTTAATTTTAAGAAATGGCCGCTTTCAAGACAATTTTATGAAATCGAAATTAAATTTGACATTCCAATCTATATAATTTTTATCTGAAATTACACCAGAATATTTTACTTACTGGAAATAAGTTTAATCATTTAGCTTTCAATTAAAAGCTAAAATGAAATCTTCAAGAAAGTTATTTTGGGTTTTTTTTTCTTCATTTTTAATTCATTTTTAACTTCAGGTATCGAAAATTTATGCCGAAATAGGAGGTATCTACAGAAAATAGAATGAATATTCGACAAAAAAAAAAAAAAATAAAATAAAAAAAATAAAGATAGCAATGGAAAATAATTGAAGTTGTACTGAACGGAGCAAGAGAAAAAAAAAAGAATCTATAAGAAAACAAGTTATATATACGAGTTCACCCTATTCAAGGCAATGAGACAAGGGGTTACTGGAAGAGTTAGACAGAAACGTTGCTAAGAAGCGAGAAAAGAGTAATCAGGAGGGCACTAGATAGCGATTGACATTGTATTCAAATTTTTTGCACATTAAATTTATCTGGAAAGCATAGGAGTTCCACAAGCGAGAAGCGCAAGAAAAGAAACTGTTAGTAAAGAACTTCCGGTTACATCTAGCCAACTCAACTAGAATTGGGAAATTAGCCAAAAAGAAAAGGTTTAAACACGATGTAAAATAAATAGGCAATGGAAAGATAATTAATGAAAAAAAACAAAAAAAACACGAATGATTATAAAAAGACGCAATAAAAAAAAAATCTAGTCAAACAGAGACTCGATGAAAACGAACACATTGAAAAAGAAAGTCGAAAAATAGATAATCTCAAAGAATCGAAAATGAAAGCAGATAATAAAAAAACCACAAAAAAACAATCCCATTTAAAATACAGTGTGACCCGGATATAAGAGACCCGGATATAAGAGAAACCCGGATATAAGAGATTTTCTCTGGTCCCAAATTAGAGCCTGTGTTAATGTACAGTGTAACCCGGATATAAGAGTTGTCGGGACCGGAGAAGAGGTCTCTTATATCCGGTTTTCTCTTATATCCGGGTTTGGTCTATTGTTTAGGTAAGTATGGGAACACTTTGGGACCAGAGAAAATCTCTTATATCCGGGTTACACTGTATATAAATAGACCAAACCCGGATATAAGAGACTTCTTCTCCGGTCCCGACAACTCTCTTATATCCGGGTTACACAGTAATCGAAAAAGGACTGTTTTGTAATGTTGTCTGGGGTGGTTATTGAAATAACTAAAACGGCAACTTACAATGTATAAGGATTTATTTTTAAACAAGACCAATACAAGTAGATAGTTACAAATTCATCTGAAGCCGGAAAGCAACCGCTCCCTAAGACCAACATCATAGATGCTTATATTCCTACTAGAACAGTCCATTTAATACAGGTGTATCAGTTCTTTGTATACTGAGAGTTATCAGTTCGTTCCCTACAACAAACTGAAAAAAGATATTCCAAAATAATTGTAAAGAAGCAATTAAAAAAAAAAAAAAAAATGTTAAAATTAGAAAGAAATTTAAGAAAAAAACGTAAAACTGTATGAAAAGGAAAAAAACCCGCAATTTCATGAAATACTGGCATAAACTGAGCAATAAAAGAGAATGTAGAAGAAAAAGGTCAAAAACGAACGCATCATTCTATTATTTCAATTGGTCAGCCTAATATTTATCGTATATCAACTAACCGATTTACAATTTCTTTATCGACGCTCCCATCATTTTGACTTAGTTTGGGGAAATAAATGACGATTTTAAATTATCGAGAGCAACAGAATTGACATTACTATTAATTTAGTAAATATCAAGTCATTTTTTTTCTTTTTTTTAGGTACGCCTCTCTTTATCCTCTATTAATAATAATGATTTTAATCTTAATATTGGGAAGTAACCCTTCGGGCAACCTGATTCAAGAAACAGATTTCATCTATCACGTTCACAATCAAAATTTTGAACTGCCGTTTCAGATTATTTTGGTTGTCACCGCAGGTTTTCGTTGAAAAAAAAAAACATTGTCAATTAAAATAATTTTTTTTTTTTTTTTATTAATAATGTCTTAACAAATTAACATATGTGGCCTAATGGTTACAGCTTAGGATTACGAACTGAAATATCTTTACTGACACGGCAAAATTCTTCGACAAATGTTCTATAAGAAAGAATATACAATTATGAATTTTACAATTTAAAAGCATCTCACCTCGCAGGATCTTCTGATAAACAATATGGCCTTCGCTTCTCTAGATCAGCTGTCGGTGTGTTAATGGTCATTGCAGAAAGTCTGTCAAGCTTTAGATACGAACGGCGAAACTCGGGTTGTGGATTTAGATATCTCGAAGACATTTGATACGGTTTGGCACACCGGTCGTGTTCACATTTTGAAGAGCTATAGTGTCTCTGGTTGAATTCTTAATTTGATTCAACCTTAACAAATCACGTATTGAAAATCGTCTTGAACAGCCACTCTTAAAAATCTTTTTGTATGAAGCAGGGTATCCTTGGAACTATTTCCTTATCAATGGTCTTCCCGATGTCATCAGTTCCCAACTAGATATCTATGTTGATAACTATTTATTCTTGATGGTAAGACCGATAGGTTGAATAAAGTCAAATTGACAGCTAATCACGAAACTGACCTCCAGACTTTTAACTGGGAAAATAAAGAGCTTTAATACCTCCCAAACGAAATAGCAGTCTTTTAGAAAACCATTTTTGTCTTCCATCATCTCTGTTTTTTTTTTTCTTTTCTCTTTTTTTATCTCTCTCTCTATTTTTTTTTCTCTCTCTTTTCTTCTCTTTATCTCTCTCTCTTTTTTTTATCTTTCTCTCTCTCTTTTTTTTATATCTTTCTCTTTTTTCTCTCTCTTTTTCTTCTTCTCTCTTTTATCTTTTTCTATCTCTTTATATCTCTCTTTTTTCTATCTCTCTCTTTTTTTCTCTATCTATCTCTTTTTTTTCTCTCTCTCTCTTTCTCTGTTTTCTCTTTATATCTCTATCTCTTTATATCTCTATCTCTTTATATCTCTTTTATCTCTATCTTTTATATCTCTATCTCTTTATATCTCTATCTCTTTACATCTATCTTTATATCTATCTCTGTTTTTCTCTCTTTATCTATCTATCTCTATATCTATCTCTTTATATCTCTTCTCTTTTATATATCTCTCTCTTTTTATATCTCTTTATATCTTCTCTTTATATCTTTACATCTCCATCTCTTTATATCTTTCTCTATCTCTTTATATTTATATCTTTCTCTCTTTATATCTTTCTCTTTATATCTCCATCTCTTTATATCTCTTTATATATTTATCTCTTTTATCTCTATCTCTTTATATCTTTCTCTATCTCTTCTCTATATATCTCTTTCTCTATCTCTTTATATCTCTCTTTCTCTTTTATATCTCTATATCTTTTATATCTCTATCTCTCTCTTTTATATCTTCTCTATCTCTTTATATCTTTCTCTTTCTTTTATATATCTTTCTCTCTTTATCTCTTTATCTCTATCTTTATATCTCTTCTCTTTATATCTTTATATCTTTCTCTTTTATATCTCTATCTCTTTATATCTTTCTTTATATCTTTTTTATATCTTTCTCTCTTTATATCTTTCTCTCTTTATATCTTTCTCTCTTTATATCTTTCTCTCTTTATATCTTTCTCTCTTTATATCTTTCTCTCTTTATATCTTTCTCTCTTTATATCTTTCTCTCTTTATATCTATCTTTTATATCTCTCTTTATATCTTTTTATATCTCTATCTCTTTATATCTCTATCTTTCTATCTCTTTATATCTCTTTATATCTCTTCTCTTTTATATCTCTTTTTATATCTCTCTTTTATATCTCTATCTCTTTATTCTCTATCTCTTTTTATATCTCTTCTCTTTATATCTCTATCTCTTTATATCTTTATATCTTTCTTATATCTCTATCTCTTTATATCTTTATCTCTTTATCTTTCTCTTTTATCTCTATCTCTTTATATATATCTCTATCTCTTTATATCTCTATCTATATCTCTCTTTATATCTCTATCTCTTTATATCTCTATCTCTTTATCTCTATCTCTTTATCTCTATCTCTATCTCTTTATATCTCTTTATCTCTCTTCTCTTTATCTCTCTCTATTTATATCTCTATCTCTTTATATCTCTATCTCTTTATCTCTATCTCTTTTATCTATCTCTTTATATCTCTATCTCTTTATATCTCTATCTCTTTATATCTCTATCTCTTTATATCTCTATCTCTTTATATCTCTATCTCTTTATATCTCTATCTCTTTATATCTCTATCTCTTTATATCTCTATCTCTTTCTATCTCTCTCTTTCTATATCTCTATCTCTTTATATCTCTATCTCTATCTCTTTATATCTCTCTGATATTTTGGTTTATCTCTATCTCTTTATATCTCTTTATTTTTATATCACATTCTATGGTTATTTATATTGTTGATTCTGAGTTTCATTTAATGTTACCTTTTTTCGATCAAGTCCTGACCTTAGACTCTATCTCTATCTATCTATCTCTATCTCTGACAAAATCTATCTCTTTTCTCACAAAATTTATATTGGTAACCCTTTTTCGATAATTGACCTTAGAATGACAAAATAAAAAGGTAACCTTAATTGGAATGACATAAAGCTTTGTGAAATGCCTGGATTGTCGATCTAGGTCATTTAGATTTTACAAGTAGACTAGAAATGCCTCGCTTCCACTTTCAACTGTGAATTAATAAGAGCTTGCCGCCAAGGAAGATATGCCTCGGCAGTGGGGAAAGTGACTGAAGCTGAGATGCCAGGTCAGCACCAATAATACCGTTGATTCTTCTTTGGATTTTATCAAGAATCTCTAAATATATAGCAAGAGCACTAGACCATATGTGACAGATATATTCAAAGCATGGACAAATGCTATACTTAGATATATGCAAGATAGATTCTGTAGAGAAAAGTTTTCTTGCACGACACAGTGAAACAACTTTCTTAGCAGCAGACCTAACAATAGATTCAATATAATCGCTCCACTTCTTATCAGTTGAAAACATAAGATCATGAAGGAGCCACGCGTTGATCTCTTGGAGACACGTTGGAGTGCAAATATGGTTCTCTACGATGACCCAAGAGCAAACAAACTAATGGCAATTTGTAAAGAATGTTGGGCGTCGTGTGCAGGTCTTATTGCAAGCAACTTTGAGCATTTTGTGATGCAGTGGTTAGTAAGATCAATTAGTGAGTAGTGGGTTCGATACTCAATGGAGGCTCCACACTTTCGGCCCTGTGCTACATCAAAGCTACGCTTAGAAAATCTTTTTTTTAGGGCACTTCAATATGGTGTTATGTTTAGCAAGCTCGTCTCGCTAGATCTATTATGACTGAATAGTGATTTCGATCTTCACCGTGTGCCCTACACATTCGGCCTTGTGCCACATCTATGCTACGCTTAGAAAAGCACCTTATTACACGCAAATTAGTTTTCGTGAGAGCTTAGTTTAAGGGTTGGGAATAAAATATATTGCGATTGTTTTTTAAGCGACTCGATGTTGTTTATTTTGGGGGCAAAAGGCGAAAAAACGCTATAAAGTTTAGTTTTTAAGAAAAAGTTTTGACTGAGAAGTAAATGTGATATAATTAGAAATGATCTAATACTATTGCTTACGCCAGGAAGGGTTTTGTTTAGCACTTTTAGATCGAAAAGAGGTGAAAAGAACTTCTATTCATAACTAAAAATGTCAATGTTCATGGCTGAAAGGTTTTACCAAGAAGTAAGATTTATGTCTTGAAACTTGATGACACCATTGTTATTACGGAAAGTATTAACATTTGTAGTCAAACGTATCTGCCAATTCAAACTCCCCCTGCATAAACTTTATTCACCGAGACAACATTAATCTTTGTTAGTCATCCCACTGCTTGGGAATTTTTTTTTCTTTTTTTATCCCAGGTCATTCTCGAGTTTACGATTTTTCTGGCGAGGGTGGTGATTAGACACGCAAGTCAAAAGGTGAATGAACCATCCAATAGGCCAGGTGTGTCAAACTGCCGGCCTTTTACATGCATCTTGGTAGCCCGCACAAAGTTTTCTATAGCCGTGGTATATCGAGAATTTTGTCTATGTAGGTAATGCAAGTTATTAAAAACTGAGATTTTTTTTTTCAGTTGGTATGATTAGTTTGTTTATTCTATCTCAATGTTTTCGAATATCAGCAACTATTTTTAACTTGACAAATAAATAAGAACAAATGTAAAGTGGAAACATTTGTAATTTTGTAATATTTTGCCTTAAAAATGTTGAATTCTATTCTCTCGTAAAAAGAGAAAATTATCTGAAGAAGGACGTGTTTCAAGAAAAGTGGGAATTACAGTACTTTTGTTCCACTGTTAATGGAAAAATAAACTTTGATTTTCAACCACTGCATTACGACGCCAAAAGAATATGTGAAGACATTATGAAAGAAACCATCGATCTTATAAATATGAAGGAGATATGCGTATTTCAAAAGTGAAGGAATTCAAGGTTAAGTTAACACAGAAACAGTTGCTTTACAACAATTCAGAAAGGTAACGTTAGTTCTGTTGTTGCAAGCTTTGAACTCTGCAAAATGATTGCCATCAGTGGAAAATCTTAGTGAAGATTTCATAAAGCGATGTCTTGTAAAAACAGCTGAAATTGTATGTCCAGAGAAATCACACTTACTTCAAGACATTTCATTAAGCAGGATGAAGAACTAATTGAACTCGTCCCAAAGCATGATACTCAAACACTCCAGGACATTTTTGAAAAATTTGAACAGCTTCTCCATGACTATGGCCTTGATTTGAGTAAAGTGTTTATTTACTGATGGTGCTGCCAATGTTTGGGAGACATAATTGTGTTGCTATCAAGTTAGGTAGAAAAATAGAAAATATATATCCAGATTCAACATTCAAGCATTTTAACTGTATAATTATCAACAGAACTTATGGTTTACGATTTTAAAATTAGATCATGTGTTGAGTTTTGACATAAAAACAGTGAACTGTATCAGTGGTTGTGCTCTGCATCACCGTCAGTTTAGCCAGTTATTGGAAGACGTGAATAATCAATTCACAAATGTCCAATTCTACACAGATGTTCGGTGGCTTTCATGTCACAAGGTACTGAAAATATTTTTTTTTATTGCGACACGAAATTGTTTTTGGAGATGAAGGGTCAAGGCACAGATGAATTGAAAGATAAAAGCTGGCTTAAAGATTTAGCTTTTTCAGTGGATATTACTACCAAATTAAGTGACCTTAATTTTAAATTACAAGGTAAAAATAAGCTCATCACTTATGATATTAAGTGTTTCATTACAAAATTAGCTTAATAGAAGTCCCAGTTGTCATATGAAAACTTGATTCATTTTCCTGTCAATACTAAGTTTGTATTTATCTTTGCTAAGTACAAATACCTGGAATTGCTGTCAAAGGAATTTCAGCAAAGATTTTGTGATTTTTCATCTTGTGAAGATCAGTTTGCATTATTCTGAGTACCATTCACTTTTGATGTTGTTCAGGCAGAGGAAAGTCTACAGATGGAACTACTGGAAATGCAGACTCAACACTCAAGGAAAAGTACCTAGAAGTAGGGGTACCCGGATTTTTTTCATACCTTCCTCAAACATTTAAGAATTTCAGAAAGTTTGCCACAGATTATGGCGATGTTGAGTTCCATATATGTCTGAGCAGTTATTTTTGTTTATGACGGCCACGAAAACTTCTCATAGAACCAGATTAACTGATGAACATTTGTCATCTTTGATCAAAGTGGGATCCACACAGACATCCCAACCTGATATATCGAGAATAGTTTGTTTAAAGCAATGTCAATCATCAGGACAACATAAACAAATGATTAAATTGTACTACCTTGTATTGTAAGTATTTTGTATTTAAAGTTTAATTACCACTAGCTGTGATTAATGTAAGTTTGTACGCAGGTGCGGCTCTTGAGGCTGCAGATATGGCCGATGCAGCCCTCCACATGTCCTGAGTTTGACATGCCTTCTATAGTCCATCGAGCACAAAGAGGTAAACTTTGGCATTAGTATGATTATTAGCACTCTATAGGTGACTATTTTCACTAGGCAAAATGTTAGTTCTGACAATGCAAATCGAATTTGAATTTCTTGGTTGTGTAGTCATACCCTTCTATGGCAACACGTAAAACAATCTTGACTGGAATTGAGAGCCAGACTACTAAAATTTAAAATATGGAACTAATATATTAGTTCTATATATATTATATAACAATATATTTTGAGGGGATTCCATATATACAGTAAAAGTGGAAGAATTATTTAAATATGATGTAGAGTGCTAAATGTTAAGTGTTTGACCTTGCACAACTTCACTCTGGATTTGTTTTATTGCTCTATCGCTATTTTCCTCATACAAACCACGTTCTTTAGTTCCACTAGTCCTGACCCTCACGGTTAGGACCCGTCATGCTGCGCACATTGTAGTGAACCACCCTCATTTCCTTAGTATTCCATTAGTGAGATGAAAGTTCCATTTGAGTAGCTTTTTCCCGCGAACCACTGCTCTGTGGAATCAACACCCAAGAGGATGTTTCCCGATCATTGCAATCTTAACCTGTTCAGGTCTAGTGTTAACCGTTATCTTCTCCACATAACCGAATAAACTGTGCCTCTTATTCTACCTCGAGTGTAACCCTCTACCTAGAGTGGCACCTGCGCCTTATACATGGTAAACATCAATGTTTAAAAAAACAATCTTTTAATGTGTTGATCTTCTCGTGCAACCACTGATGTTTTTATCATTTCAACCCAAGCAAGACGATAAGGCCTCAAAGGGTTAGTGCAAGTACCTCCAAAAATTCGATAAAGAGCATGCCATAATGAAAAAAAAACATACCCGCAAATTGATAGAACAGTTTTATCGTCAAACTGTTTACATTATTATTAAGAGAAAGGACCAAAGTATTTTCGATTATTTTATTAAATTTTGTGAATCCTTTCTAGTACGTTCGAAATTTTGGTGAAATATTTTGTTTTTCTTGCGTCGATATGTGGGCCAAAGATTACTATGGAAAATTTAGTCTTTTTTTCTTTTTTCAGTAAAAACACATTGTTTTGGAAATTCTTGCAAAAATCAAATTGTCGGATTTTAATTAAATTTCTAGGATTTATTCAAAAATAATTTTTTTTTTTTTTAAAACTTTATTCTTTTTAGTTTTTAGAAAATCTTAGTATTTTTTTAAATTTACGTCTCTTACTCCCACTTAGTTAATTTTATGAAATTTCGAAAAATTAAAATTTCACCCACTTTATATTAGTTAAAAGCAGAACGCCTTGGAGAATTTAAGTCCTCAAATTATCTTAGTCAAAATTTAACGAAAATCTTCTGAATCGTGAAATAAAAAATGCAATAAAACCAAGACATTATTTAATCAAAAAAACTTTGTATCAATTTCACCCCCTTTGTCTCTTTCTGTCCCTCTTTGTCAATGTTATGTTTAAATTAACATTTCGGGGTTAATTGTTAGCTAAACTAAGAAATGTAGGCCGCCAGGACATTTGCCATGAAAATAGTGATTAAATCGCGAGAAGTTAGCAACGTTTCGTCAAAGGGGAAAGAGATTGTAGGGTGGAAATAATTAATTGCTCATAAGGTTGTATAGACGCTTGTGAACTGATAAAACGCACCACAAAAACTTTCCCAATTTGTCCTATTTTTCTGACGCGTTTCAGTAGACTTAATTTTTTTTTTCCAATTTGTCAAATTATATATATATATATATATATATATATATATAGTTGGATTGATGTGAGTTTGTGACCCTGGGTTTCACGCTTTTGCCATCGTCACGGTTACAAACTCACATCAATCCAACTAAATATGTTAGCACTATCACTGATATTGAGCGCTTTCCAATAAGTACCGCGTATATATAATATATAAATAATATATATAATGAATTTATATATGCATACACACACACACTGGGGTGAATTGATTAAAAAAAAAAAAAAATCAAGATAAAGCTGATATTTTGATTTTGCATAAATCCTTGCAGCCTAAATACACCTTATTTACACACAAAATAACAAACTATTAGCGTATGTCAAAAATGATCATAATTAACCTGTAGAAAAATACCATATGTATAAAGGAAAAAAGACAAAAGCAAAACTTTACTTTGATCCGACGCGTTTTGTCCAGTGTGGACTCTTTCAAAGCAAAAACGAAATGAAATGGTTTCAATAAGTTCATTTCGTTTTCAGCCTTGAAAAGAAAATTCACATTGGACGAAACGTGTCGGCTAAAAGTATAATTTTCTTGTCTTTTTCTCATTCACACAAAATATATTTTAAAAAAATTATAACATTTGTTATAATTATTTATTTAAAAAGATTATATCTGCTCTACTCTGTATTGAGCAATCTTTTAAGAATAGTAATTGTTGGTAATTGGAATTCATTCCGTATACACCAATTATATACTTGGAGATATATATGACGGATTGGATAAAAATTCAGTCTGATGGAACACGGCGCAAAAATAGTATGAGAAATTGGGAAATATTTTTCGTGACACGTTTCATCTGTTAGGATTCCATCGGACTGAATTGTTTTTTTCCAATTTGTCATACTATTTTTCTAAATACTGTTTATTGATATATGTAATTATACGAAACAAACTTGTATCTCCTTTATATATATATATATATAGTTGTCGACATATGCGTCCAATGCTTGTAAAGGTGAAATGCCTTATCCTTTTTCTTTTTAAGGGTAACTTAGAGAAAAATCGGTCGATTGTGGATGGCATTTATTGCCCAACATATATATTTGCTTGTTGGTGTGAAAAGTCGTGGGTGGTTGTGAGCTTGGTGGGCAATGGTATTGACTCTGCGTGATTCAAGACTTTTAGGGATCGGGGGTGAAAAGAAATGACGAGTAGGGAAAGATCGGTGTAAATATTCGCTATCAAGGGGATTGGACAAGAGAAACAGTTCTTTTTTTTTTTTTTTTTCTTTATATACACACAATATAAAGATACATGATCAAAACAAATGGAACACCTGTGAAATCTTTGATTTACGCTCTTGCAAAACAAAAAAAGGTTTTTCATATAATTACTTAACTATTTTCTCTACACTTTATTCCTTTTTTTCTTAAAAAAATGACAAAAATTGCGTCGTTTCAATTTTCCCCCTTTTTCTTAAATTTCTCTCGCTTATTTTTTAAAATTGTTGACAACTTCAGTATCTGTCTATATTTTTGAGATGAGGTATTATGTACACTGTTTACAATATTCGGACTATTGTTTTCATCTTTGTTGCCATATTTATCACAACGTTTCGGCCGTCGTACGTTCTGGCCTTCTTCATGTGGTTGTAATATCGAACTGAACCCTTTATTTTATTTACCCCAGTGACCGAAATAAAGAGTTCAGTTCGACATTCCAACCACCTGAAGGGTGGAGCGTACAACGACCGAAATGTTGTGATAAATATGGTAACAAAGATTCGAACTATTGTCCGAATAATGTAAATAGTGTTGACAACTTATTTCTTTTATTAGGGCTGCAGGTAAGTTATAGAATTAATTTCTGATAGTTATTTTACCTGACACAGAATGACTGGGACGGACACATAGAATAGGAAGTCTCGCGTATTTCTATTTTATAGTGGATAAAGTCTTTGTATAAAGTCTTTGAATTCGCATCTTTTAAATGGCACCCACTTGGCCTGAATAAAAGATACGAATAAATAAATAAGCTTTTGGGATCAAGTAACAAAGTCGGACATTGATGATTTCCGGTTACTGATCTCTATTACATTATATTTGGGATTGAAATGTCAGTTTGGTCTGCCCTTTAGAGACATGCAATCGTTCCGATGCGGCCTGTTCATGGTGCCAGCCACAAACCGTGATATTAAGATAGACAAGGGGTTGAAATGAGGAAAGAGCTGAGCTGTTAGACTGATGTGGCAGGATTTGCCTCAAGTGTCACCTATCTACCTGCCCAGACCGAGCAAGGGAAGTCCTGAATAAAAACATTTGAATATATTAGAAACAAGATTCGAGTTCTCATTTCTCGACTTTTCTTTGTGAATGCACATCTGGTCTTTCTCGGTATATATATATATATATATATATATATATATAAACTTTTTTTGCGCACATCGACTTGAACGCAACGCAAGGGAGTATTTGACGGATGCTGGAAATCTGAGTGAGTCTCGTTACATGATTATATACCTACAACATTCTCCAGTTTTCCTTCATTTTCAGTATCTAAACAAGAAACAAATCAAGACATTAAGCTTTTTTTAAAATGTTTATATATGTTAGAATATTTTATTTTCTTTCATTTCATACAGTAGATCATTTAATCTATTTAAGTTCCATAGCTGCCATTAAATCATAGCAGTTGTCAAACTTTAAGAAACATTGATTGGTTCGTTTTCTACGATTCATCAGCCATTTGTAAATTATTTAAAGCCAGAAAATATCTTACATTGCAAGAATTTATTTTTTCATTTATTTTTATCTATTTTATTTCATTTATTTATTTATTTATTTTTGAGATTGTCATCTTCGATTTTTTCTTTTTTTGACCACCTTTTAACACAGATTTTGCCCAAAAGGATATTGTGAATAGTTTTCGTCGTTAGGTTTTTAGTGCCAATTATTTGCACCTATTTAATTTAAAGTTGCTTGTGATCCATTTTATCAGAATGTAGGACAAAGGGTGCCTTTAATATTCTATTTTAAAAAAGATTTTTTGTAATAAAATAGGATTCTCGCGTTCTTTAACATTTTAAAAATTTTTTATACTGATAAGAATAACGACCTTTTCGAAAAAAAAAAACTTTCATTTTAATAAATTCACGTTTGACCTTCTCTATTTAGATATTAACTAACAGATTTTTTTTTTCTCGAGATAATAATTTTTTAGTGATACAAGTCTTACTAATCAACCCATAGCTGGGGGAGAATAGGCGAATTCATGCCTCTCCCAACGTTATATTTGCGCGTAAGTGAATATAACGAACCCAAATGGAATTGGAACTCGGCTCTCCGATTAAAAATTCCGAATCATTATCTATCACAACGCCCGCGAATCCAAGCTTACAGCGCATTGTACTATCAAGCAACCACCCATCGAGGTAGTTACCAGGCTTGACGTTGCTTAACTTCGGTGATCGTTCGGGAACCGGTGTCTCAACGTGATGTTGTAAACTAGCACAAGATCTATTTTAGAGTTGATGCCTCCTCGCTTAAAGGAATTAAGCAGTTGCCCCTTTCCAGAAAGGGTAAGATTCTTCCATTTTTATGAAGACTGGAATTTCAGGACAATGCGATACCAAGTGAAAGTTCTTACGACCATGCCACTCGTGTTTCTTAATGGGGCTACCGCATCCTTATTTTCCAACTTTGATAGGTCAAAATCGTCTACGCAAGTCTCGTGAAGGTAGATTTATTTTCCACTCTACAACCTCTTTCCCCGCAAACGCAATGTCATAAGCCTATTGCTACTTCCACGACATATGCTCAGACAACTTCCATTCTTTAGTGCCACGCTTATAGCTATATCACGTTTAAACAACGGTTCCCATACAATCATCGAAGTTAAGCAACGTCGAGCCTGGTCAGTACCCAGATGGGTGACCACTTGGGAATACCAGATGCTGTAAACTTGGATGTATGGGTGGTTTCATGGATGACGGTTCGTTGTATTCACTCACTCGCAAATATCCTTGGAAAACGTATGAATCCACTTCCTCTCCCCCCAGCTATGGATTAATTAATAAGATTTATATCCTTAATCCATTATCTCCCGTCATCCGCCCCCATTCCAATTCTTACAATCCTAAAATATTTCTGGCTTTAAATAACCTGCAAAGAGTTGATAAGCCGTAGAAATGAATGAATGAATCAATCAATCAATCAATTCCACTTTGACTGTTTCTGGGAAGAACTGATTCACATCAAGAAGAAAAACGAGAAACGGGATGATGATCACCGGAGTTAAGCAACGTCGAACCTGGTCAATACCTAGATGGGTGATCGCTTGGTAATGCCATGTACTGTAAGCTTGGTTGTGCGGGTGGTGTAATGCATAATGGCTCGGAATTGTTAATCGGAGAGCCGAGTTCCAATTTCCGTTGGGTCCATTATAGTCACTTACGCGCAAATAACGTTGAACCTTCTTCGTCTCTTCCCAGCTATGGGTTAATTAGTAAGACCTTGTATCACTAAATAATTTTCTCCAAAAGGAAATTCTTAGAATCTAAAAATATTTTCTGATTTTAAATATCATCCAAAGAGTTGATAAGCTGTAAAAAAAACAAAAAACGAATCGATCTTTAGTGCTCTCAGTTTAGACCTTTACAGCTCGGACACGACATGCGAAGTCAACGGAGAAGAATCACCCAGATTTCATCCGTTTTATATTTGTAAGGAAGTTCTACCCAGAAAGCTTCTTTTTTTTTTTTTTTTTTTTTTTCTGAGAACTGAAAATAGGCGTGACTTTCCGGCGTGGAAACTTCTAAATACGACAATCCTAAGTTATGGATCAGTTGCTGTCCATCCTCGTAATTTTCACTTATTTTTTTCTGTGTGTTGTTTGTTATTTTTTGTTTTTTGGGTTTGGTTTTTTTGTTTTTTGGGCTTTTTTTTTTTTTTTTCATTTCACCCCAAGATAGGCGATAATGCCAGTAAGACGCAAGAGGTTGCTGGGGGCGAAAGGAAATTAGAAGACTTTAAAAGAAGGAACCAGAAACCCAATCTTAAACAGGAAACAAGGTATAAACCTCAATTCCTGTTCAAAAGACGGAGAAGGTGTGTGAAACGGGCGATAGATTCATACCCCTCTCCAGTTTATTTCTACCTCCTCTTACATCACGTACGACATAACCCTCTACCATGAGTGGTTCTTGAGTCTTGTATAGTGTGAAGTTTAATATAAAAATGTCGATACTTGATACAGGTTTAGTTTTCTAAAGGTTTGAAAAAAATCTTAAACCTGAATATTTTAGTATATTTAAAGCGTTTTCGGTTTATTAAAAAAGACAAAGAATTCAATATCTTCACTTATTTTCTTTCATTTTCTTTGATCTTGCAATGCGAACCTTCTTATATCTATTGGAAACTAGCTTAAAATAGTTTTAAGCTAGCTCCTGACAAGGGCTAATTAAGCCTTCGGCCTAAAACTAGCGAGACCTCTGGTTCAGCTCAGAAAACAGTAATGATAGTTTTCAAAAAATAACTTTGAATTTCTTACTTTCTTCCATGGAACTTCAAAACCTCACTTTAACTCTGATTCGGGCTATAAATTCAATTCCGACCAAAAGATCGATTTAGGCCGAAATTCCAATTCAGGCCGAAAATTGAGTTCTTCAAAGCATCACGTCATGAAATCTCTCACTTTAACTCTTATTCCTTGGTCTTTTCAAGAAATAAAGTTGATTTCCTCAATTCGTAAAGTTTTGGAGATATTGTTAAATTCACAAAGTTTTTGTGTTACTTTAAACTCGATATAAATTAAAAAAAAAATTTTTTTCAGTTATTTTAAAATTTGAATTTCTAACTGTTTCCTCCTCATTTGAACACAAATCCCAAATGTTAGATGTTCACGCACCTCATAAAAGGCAGCTTTTCAATCCCAAGATCATTCGGATTCCAAAATGGTATATGTCCATCTAGAGAAAGTGTAGCCAGTCATGTTTCAAACACACGGACGGACACAGAATTTTCCGTTTATTTAGATAGGAAAAGATCTTAGAGTACCAGTTTATGAATAATGTAAACTATTTGGTCGCATAATTAATCTCTTTTTTTTTTTTTTTTTTTTTTTTTTTTTTTTTAAATCATTGTTCTTAATAATGACACAGATTGTGACGATAACCTGTTTTTTTTGGGGGGGTGCGGAGTATATGAAAATTAAAACTATAAAAATAAAACGTCGCGGAATAAATACAGCCACTCATTTAACGACTCGACTGTTCAACGATCTCCCGGTTTACGACCAGCTATAAATTCTCAAAAAATAAAAAGTAAAAAAAAATAAATCCAACTATTCGGTATTAAAACATTGCATGAAAACTTTGATCAGAATTTTTTTTTTATTATTCAAAATGAATTATGTCATCAGTTCTCAACTCTGTATTTATGCTAATGATACAACTATTTACTCTTACCTGAACAAGAAGTTTGATCAATTCGATAAGGTCAAATTGGCAGTTGATCTAAAAAAAAAAATCTACAATCTGTTGTTAAATCGGGCAAGGAGTGGCTTGTTAATTTTAAGGCATTGAAAACAAAACTTCTCTCTTTTAATAGTCTGAGAGAACCCCTTTTACCTTCCATCACCAAGGCTGATTCTAACCTCCAGGCGATTGACTCTTTGCCTCATTTTTCTGTATATGTGTGTGTATCTCTGTAACGTTTTGTATCTCTGTATATGTGTGTCTCTGTATATTGTGTATCTGTATATGTGTATATCTCTGTATATGGAAATGTGTGTATTATAGTGAATCAATCGTATCTCTGTATAATCTGCATATGTGTATCTCTGTATATGTGTGTAAAGTTGGTTCATTGTGTCTCTGTATATGTGTGTATCTCTGTATATGTGTGTATCTATATGATCATATTTTTCTCTGCATCTATCTATATCTCTGTATGTGTGTATCTCTCTGTATATGTGTGTGTATCTGTATATGTGTGTGTATCTGTATATGTGTGTGTATCTGTATATGTGTGTGTATCTGTATATGTGTGTGTATCTGTGTATATGTGTGTGTATCTCTGTATATGTGTGTATCTCTGTATATGTGTGTATCTCTGTATATGTGTGTATCTCTGTATATGTGTGTATCTCTGTATATGTGTGTATCTCTGTATATGTGTGTATCTCTGTATATGTGTGTATCTCTGTATATGTGTGTATCTCTGTATATGTGTGTATCTCTGTATATGTGTGTATCTGTGTGTGTGTGTGTATCTCTGTATGTGTGTATCTCTGTATATGTGTGTATCTCTGTATGTGTGTGTATATGTGTGTATCTCTGTGTGTGTGTGTATCTCTGTGTGTATCTCTGTATATGTGTGTATCTCTGTATGTGTGTGTGTATATGTGTGTATCTGTGTGTGTGTGTATATGTGTATCTGTATATGTGTGTGTGTGTATCTCTGTGTGTGTGTGTGTGTATCTGTGTATGTGTGTATCTCTGTGTGTGTATCTCTGTGTGTGTGTGTCTGTATCTGTGTGTGTGTGTGTATATGTCTGTGTGTGTGTGTGTATCTCTGTATCTGTGTATCTGTGTGTGTGTGTATCTGTGTGTGTGTGTGTGTCTCTGTGTGTGTGTGTGTATCTCTGTATATGTCTCTGTATGTGTGTGTGTGTATATGTGTGTGTGTATATGTGTGTATCTCTGTGTGTGTGTATATATGTGTGTGTGTGTATGTATATGTGTATCTCTGTGTATGTGTGTATCTCTGTGTGTGTATCTCTGTATATGTGTGTGTGTGTGTGTATCTGTGTGTGTGTGTGTGTCTCTGTATGTGTGTGTGTGTGTATATCTCTGTGTGTGTGTATGTGTATCTCTGTATCTGTGTGTGTGTGTGTATCTCTGTGTGTGTGTGTGTGTGTGTGTGTGTGTATATCTCTGTGTGTGTGTATCTCTGTATATGTGTGTATGTATGTCTCTATCTCTGTGTGTGTGTATCTGTATATGTGTGTGTGTGTGTATATCTCTGTGTGTGTGTATCTGTGTGTGTGTATCTCTCTGTATCTCTGTGTGTGTGTGTGTATATGTGTGTATCTCTGTGTATGTGTGTATCTCTGTGTGTGTATCTGTGTGTGTATCTCTGTGTGTGTGTCTCTGTGTGTATCTGTGTGTATATCTCTGTGTGTGTGTCTCTGTGTGTATCTGTGTGTATATCTCTGTGTGTGTGTCTCTGTGTGTGTATCTGTATATGTGTGTATCTCTGTATGTGTGTCTCTGTATATGTATCTCTGTGTGTATATCTCTGTGTATATGTGTGTATCTCTGTATATGTGTGTATCTCTGTATATGTGTATCTCTGTATATGTGTATATCTCTGTGTGTGTGTCTCTGTGTGTATCTGTGTGTATATCTCTGTGTGTGTGTCTCTGTGTGTATATCTCTGTGTGTGTGTCTCTGTGTGTATCTGTGTGTATATCTCTGTGTGTGTGTCTCTAAATAGTTCAATGGTAATTGTTCTGTATATGTGTGTCTCTCTGTATGGTGTACTTTCCTCTGTATGTGTGTACCTCTGTAGACTTTATGAATTTGTATATGTGTGTGTATCTCTGTAGTATCTAGATTGAAGGTGTATCATCTCATCATTTTACATTTGCAATGGTTAGATGTAACCGTAAGTTCTATGCTAACAGTTCCTTCTATCGCACTTACTTGTGGAGCACTTTTTTGGCTCCTTGTTTTCCTGTCAACTTTGTATTTATATTTTTGAAGATCAATGTCAATCGTTATTTTCTGACTTAATTCTTGTTCTTTTTGTTTTCTATTCTTTAGTCCAGGGTATGATAAACTATATCCGTCAACAGGGCCTCTGATCAGGAGATTACAGGTTTTGAGGAGCCTGGAATCACCTCTTAATTTCTGTTGTTCCCAGCTGCACCCTGACCTGGGGTGGTAGCACCTGTTAGGGTCCTAGCTATGGCCAAATAGTGAACCCCCCAAACAAAACAATTTGAAAGTATAGAAATACATTTTTCTGGTAAAAATACCAGCAATACACTTCTATTAAAAAATGACCAACAGTACATTTTATCTGTAGTTGAAACCATAAAACTGTGTTCAAAATATTTAGATTTCGACATTAACTAACACATAGAGATTGATATGCCGCTAAACAAAATCAATCAATCAATCAATCAATCAAGCAAGCAAGCAACATCTCTCCTTAATAGTACATTTTCTCATATTCTGTTACACTCAGTAACCGTCCTGCGTCTTAGTGGCTTTATTGGCTTGCTTGTGGTGAAATGATTAAAAAGAAGAATGAATAAATAAATTGAAATATAAATAAACATTTACTTGTATTGTTTACACAGTATGTAAACCGAAGTAATATACTGAATGTACAACTAATTTTCGAAATTATTTATTACATTCACTGTTTAGTACACTACTATACTGTATAAACATTTAGAAATAAATTACAAATGTTTACAAATGGTTCAAAAGTAAAGTTCAAAAGTTCATTAAAGTTATCCGAAGCTGGTTGACACAAACCCATTACACGAGTGGTATGCTTGAAATAACGTTCATTTAGCGACCAGTTCGTTAGAACAGAAGCCGGTCGTTCAATCAGGGTTTCTTATATTCTTGTACTAAATCTTGTTTTATAAAGTATTTTTATGCTTCACCAGTGAGAATTTTCGTAAAAATCAGTTTCTGATTGATTTTTTACAAGTATATTTTCTCTTTCTAATTAAAAAATAATTCCTCGTATTAGGCATAGTTAGCTAACTTGGTAAAAAAAAAAAAAAAAATTGCAGGAAGGTCGGTATTCGCCTAAATAACTTTTGAAAAATGGGATCATCAGAAAAAAAAACAAAAAAAACTGTACTCTTTAGTACCAAATATGTTACGGTACAACTTCCATCAATTTTGCCCTCGGCACGCTGCTTATTTAGTACAGCAAACTGATTTATCTTAATGTTCTCCGTGGCACGGTTATTTTGTTCCAGTTTATTAAACTTAAACTCTTATTTTATAAGTTGAGGCATTTCTGACGGGAATGACTATACCAGACGGCACAAACAAATAAGATGAAGATAGATTATTATGAAGAAGTAAAATTGAACTATAAGTCAGAGAAAAGGAGATACAAGCAAAGTTAAAGAAAGGGAATACGATGAAGGAGGAGAAAGAAGAATTCAAGAATTGATCAATTCCACCTTTTCGAGAAAGGGAGACATTTTTTTTATTATAGCTTTGGGGTCAGGTGATTCAAAGTTAAAAAAAAATCCTTACGACCATGTCACTCAATTCTCTTACTGGAGCTGCCACACCCTCACTTTCCAGCCTTGATAGTTCAAAATCGTCTGCGCAAATCTTGTGGAGGAAGACTTATTTTACATTCTACAACCTCTTTCCTCGCATACGCAATGTCACAAGCCTATCGTTACATCCACGGCATGTGTTTAAGCAAACGCCATTCTTTACGGCCATATCACGTTTATCACCGATTCCTGTACGATCACCGAAGTTAGGCATCGTCGAGCCTGGTCAGTACCTAAATGGGTGACCGCTTGGGAATAGCAGATGCTGTAAGCCTTGATTCGCGGGTGGTGTAATGGATAACGTCTCGGAATTGTTAATCGGAGAGCAGTTTCAATTTCCAGGCGGCATGTGAATAGCACGTGGAAAAAAAAAACACGAACAAGACGAAGATAGAAGAAATTGTGGTATAAGGCGGAGAAAAGGAGAAACAAGTAAAGAAAGTACATGCGATGAAGGAGAGGAAAACTGGAACAAATAAGTAACGATAGATGGAAAGCGTGAAAAAATTTAAGATGTAAAAGAAAAGAACGAAGTGGGTAGAAGTGAGAGGAAGGGAGAGAGAGAAAGATGGAGTAAAACGATAGAAGAAAGTAAGAAATTATTGTTGGCTATCTGGTGGCCATCTTTTCCTATAGTAACCGAACAAACGTTTTGCCGACAAGATTAGTTAAACAAAAGTTCCTCAAGAAAAAAAGATTGCTAGGTCAGGTCGGTGAAACAAGTGGATGGACTTCGGAGCATATTAAATAAGGATGAAGGTGCGTACAGTACAAAAAACATGCAGTTAGGAGTGGTGCTATACATACGGAACATAGGTGTATGTATATATAAAGAAAACCGCGCGAGAGATAACCTGCTTGCTGAAGGAAATATTTATTTAGTATTCATATACGCCACTGGTCAGTGTTTAAACCCAGGTATAAACAAGAATTTTGGAATCTGATTTTCAAGGAAATCTCGGCTTGAAAGATTGACTATATACAATCTTCATATAATCCGCCATTGTTAACCAATGTTAAGCACGTCTAATCTTAGTAAACAGCGATATTTTTTTTTTAATGCAATGTCCCTTCAGAACAGAGGCGAACATGTTCTTCCAGATTCCTTTTCTTTATCTGTGAATTGCCATGATTTCCTGGGAAAGATAGTGGAGTGGTTTCTTGTTGCCTTCTCCGGTTTTAAATACAGATTAGTTCTTGTCTTAGACTGGTTGACAGTAACGAGGATCAGTATATCCTTCTATTATAGATACGAATTCAAACGGTCCTTCTCCAAGAATCCTTTCCTTTATCTGTGAATTATCATGACTTCTTTTGAAAGATAGTGGAATAGTTTGGCATTGCCTTTTCCACAATTTTGAATACAGAGTAGTCCTTCTCCAAGAATCCTTTTCTTTATCTGTGAATTACCGTAACTTCCTGGGAAAGATAGTGGAATGTCTTAACGCTGCCTTCACCAGTTTTAATTTAAAAGCTTTCCTTCTCTCCCTCAGACTGACTGCCATCCGGAGCTAGACGATTAGTCTAACTTACTTGACTATTTAAATTACAGTTAGTGGAGATGGTGAGAAGAAAAGGAATCGTGTCAATCCCAAGTGCTGTGTCCATTCAGGATGTTGGCGATTATGGCCTCCAGAATTTCCTCTCCTTTCTAGCTCTTAATATATACTGACTCTCATTCTTTCTTTTTCTATGTGCTGTGTCCATTCAGGTTGTTGGCGATTATGGCTCTCCACAACTTCCTCTCCTTTCTAGCTATTAATGTATACTGACTCTGATTCTTTCTTTTTCTATGTGCTGTGTCCATCCAGGATGTTGGCGATTATGGCTCTCCACAATTTCCTCTCCTTTCTAGCTCTTAATATATACTGACTCTCATTCTTTCTTTTCTATGTGCTGTGTTCATTCAGGATGTTGGCGATTATGGCTCTCCACAATTTCCTCTCCTTTCTAGCTCTTAATATATACTGACTCTTCATTCTTTTCTTTTCAGGATGTTGGCGTTATGGCTCTCCACAATTTCCTCTCCTTTCTAGCTCCATTATATGACTCTCATTCTTTCTTTTTCTATGTGCTGTCCATTCAGGATGTTGACCTGGCTCTCCACAATTTCTCCTTTCTAGCTCTTAATATATACTGACTCTCATTCTTTCTTTTTCTATGTGCTGTGTCCATTCAGGATGTTGGCGATTATTGCTCTCCACAATTTCCTCTCCTTTCTAGCTCTTAATATATACTGACTCTCATTCTTTCTTTTTTCTATGTGCTGTGTCCATTCAGGATGTTGGCTGTGTCCATTCAGGATGATTATGGCTCTCCACAATTCCTCCTTTCTAGCTCTTAATATATACTGACTATTCTTTCTTTTTTCTATGTGCTGTGTCCATTCAGGATGTTGGCGATTATGGCTCTCCACTCCTCATTTCTTTCTTTTTTCTTTTTTCTATGTGCTGTGTCCATTCAGGATGTTGGCGATTATGGCTCTCCACAACTTCCTCTCCTTTCTAGCTCTTAATATATACTGATTCTCATTCTTTCTTTTTCTATGTGCTGTGTCCATTCAGGATGTTGGCGATTATGGCTCTCCACAACTTCCTCTCCTTTCTAGCTCTTAATATATACTGATTCTCATTCTTTCTTTTTCTATGTGCTGTGTCCATTCAGGATGTTTGGAATTATGGCTCTCCACAATTTCCTCTCCTTTCTAGCTCTTAATATATACTGATTCTCATTCTTTCTTTTTTTCTATGTGCTGTGTCCATTCAGGATGTTGGCGATTATGGCTCTCCATTCTCCTTTCTAGCTCTTTATATGTCCATTCTGCTCTCATTCTTTCATTTTTCTTTTTCTGTGCTGTGTCCATTCAGGATGTTGGCGATTATGGCTCTCCACAATTTCCTCTCCTTTCTAGCTCTTAATATATACTGACTCTCATTCTTTCTTTTTCTATGTGCTGTGTCCATTCAGGATGTTGGCGATTATGGCTCTCCACAATTTCCTCTCCTTTCTAGCTCTTAATATATACTGACTCTCATTCTTTCTTTTTCTATGTGCTGTCCATTAAGAATGTTGGCGATTATGGCTCTCCACAACTTCCTCTCCTTTCTAGCTCTTAATATATACTGACTCTCATTCTTTCTTTTTCTATGTGCTGTGTCCATTCAGGATGTTGGCGATTATGGCTCTCCACAATTTCCTTTCTCTCTTTCTAGCTCTTTCTTTCTTTTTCTATGTGCTGTCCATTCATATGTTGGCTCTTATTATCTCTCATTCTTTCTTTTAGCTCTTAATATATACTGTCATTCCATTTTTCTATGTGATGTCCATTAGGATGTTGGCGATTATGGCTCTCCACAATTTCCTCTCCTTTCTAGCTCTTAATATATACTGACTCTCATTCTTTCTTTTCTATGTGCTGTGTCCATTCAGGATGTTGGCGATTATGGCTCTCCACAATTTCCTCTCCTTTCTAGCTCTTAATATATACTGACTCTCATTCTTTCTTTTTCTATGTGCTGTGTCCATTCAGGATGTTGGCGATTATGGCTCTCCACAATTTCCTCTCCTTTCTAGCTCTTAATATATACTGACTCTCATTCTTTCTTTTTCTATGTGCTGTGTTCATTCAGGATGTTTGATTATGGCTCTCCTCTTAATTTCCTCTCCTTTCTAGCTCTTAATATATACTGACTCTCATTCTTTCTTTTTTCTATGTGCTGTGTCCATTCAGGATGTTGGCGATTATGGCTCTCCACAATTTCCTCTCCTTTCTAGCTCTTAATATATACTGACTCTCATTCTTTCTTTTTCTATGTGCTGTGTCCATTCAGGATGTTGGCGATTATGGCTCTCCACAATTTCCTCTCCTTTCTAGCTCTTAATATATACTGACTCTCATTCTTTCTTTTTCTATGTGCTGTGTCCATTCAGGATGTTGGCGATTATGGCTCTCCACAATTTCCTCTCCTTTCTAGCTCTTAATATATACTGACTCTCATTCTTTCTTTTTCTATGTGCTGTGTCCATTCAGGATGTTGACGATTATGGCTCTCCACAATTTCCTCTCCTTTCTAGCTCTTAATATATACTGACTCTCATTCTTTCTTTTTCTATGTGTGTCCATTCAGGATGTCCATTTCAGGATGTCTCATTCTTTCTTTTTCTATGTGCTGATTATTCAGGATGTTGCGATTATGGCTCTCCACAACTTCCTCTCCTTTCTAGCTCTTAATATATACTGATTCTCATTCTTTCTTTTTTCTATGTGCTGTGTCCATTCAGGATGTTGGCGATTATGGCTCTCCACAATTTCTCTCTCCTTTTTCTAGCTCTTAATATATACTGACTCTCATTCTTTCTTTTTTCTATGTGCTGTGTCCATTCAGGATGTTGGCGATTATGGCTCTCCACAATTTCCTCTCCTTTCTAGCTCTTAATATATAGGATGTTGGCGATTATAAACTCCACAATTTCCTCTCCTTTCTAGCTCTTAATATATACTGACTCTCTCATTCTTTCTTTTCTATTTGTGTCCATTCAGGATGTTGCTTATGTCCATTTCCTCTCCTTTCTAGCTCTTAATATATACTGACTCTCATTCTTTCTTTTTCTATGTGCTGTCCATTAAGAATGTTGGCGATTATGGCTCTCCACAATTTCCTCTCCTTTCTAGCTCTTAATATATACTGACTCTCATTCTTTCTTTTTCTATGTGCTGTGTCCATTCAGGATGTTGGCGATTATGGCTCTCCACAATTTCCTCTCCTTTCTAGCTCTTAATATATACTGACTCTCATTCTTTCTTTTTCTATGTGCTGTGTCCATTCAGGATGTTGACGATTATGGCTCTCCACAATTTCCTCTCCTTTCTAGCTCTTAATATATACTGACACTCATTCTTTTTTTTTTTTCTATGTGCTGTGTCCATTCAGGATGTTGTTATGGCTCTCCATTTTCTCCTTTCTAGCTCTTAATATATACTGACTCTCATTCTTTCTTTTTTCTATGTGCTGTGTCCATTCAGGATGTTGGCGATTATGGCTCTCCACAATTTCCTCTCCTTTTTAGCTCTTAATATATACTGACTCTCATTCTTTCTTTTTTCTATGTGCTGTGTCCATTCAGGATGTTGGCGATTATGGCTCTCCACTATTTCCTCTCCTTTCTAGCTCTTAATATATACTGACTCTCATTCTTTCTTTTTTTCTATGTGCTGTGTCCATTCAGGATGTTGGCGATTATGGCTCTCCACAATTTCCTCTCCTTTCTAGCTC